ATGAAAATCTGGGGAAAATTGAGCTGTATTTTGGTTTTTGACCTGAAAACAAAGATATTGTAGTCAGCTGGCCCTGCTTACTGTTTAAAGTGCATTTGTGTCGTTTTGATGTTTTCCTGACTTCTGATGTCAAGTAGTGTAATCTCGGCTTTACATCTGGGTCTAACTGTTTTAAGATATAGGAAAGAAAGCAATAACCTTTTCTCAGTTTTCTCAGGCCTTTTTCTTCGAGGTGCAATTTCTCTCCCTGTTTTGTAAGGAACGGATTGCTGTTGAGATCCCGAATAGCTTATAGCTTATAAAATTTATCATGTGATTAGTTAGGTAATAATCGACTCAAGTGCCCCTGTGTTTTAGACATAAACCACCGAGGGGTGTTTCCCTTGAAGTACTTCATAACTCCGAGCCTAAGTATACATTTTGAGTTTGCTCGGAAGGCAGAATGGGGCAACATACTCATGTGAGATACTCGAGATAGCCCTGTCCCAGCTTCAATCCATTCTACCTGTACCCTGCTTCCGCCCCTCTCACCTTCAGCTGCCTGCTGTTGTCAGTTCTCATTGAGAAATAAAGATAATAGGAAGGATGTAATTAAAATGGAAAGGGTGCAAAAAAGATTTACAAGGATGCTACCGAGACTGAAAGGTTTGATTTATAAGGAGAGGCTGGATAGCCTGGGATAAGTTTATAAAATCATGAGGGGCATAGATAAAGCAAATCGCCTTCATCTTTTCCCAGGATAGGTGAATCCAAAAACTAGACGGCATAAGTTTAAGGTGAGAGGGGAAAGTTTTTTAAAAGGGACCTGAGGGGCAACTTTTTCATTCTGAGATTGATGCATATATGCAACAAGCTGCCAGAGGAAGTGGTAGAAGCAGGTACAATTACGACATTTAAAAGACTTGGTTAAGAAGGATTTAGAGGGATATGGACTAAACACCAATTAGTTCAGTAGAGGAAACCTGGTTGGCATGGACAAGTTGAAGTTTCCATTCTATATGGCTTTATCAGAAGAAGAACCATTCATGGCTGACTGAGAAAGTTAAAATTGGTATCAAATTAAAAGTAAGACATACAATGTTATGAAGATTAGAAGTAGGTCAGAAGATTGGGAAAATTGTTTGAAACCAATAAAGGATGACTTCAGAAAGTAAAGGGGAATAAAATTGTTTATGAATAAACTTGCAAGGAATATTTTTAAAAGGCAATGAAGGCCTCTAAGTACACAACAGAAAGGAGATTGGTTAAAGTAGATATTGGTCCTTATAATGCAAGACTGTGGAATCAGGGAGGAACAAGGGAAAGTTTTCGTTGTCTTTCAGTCCCATGCTCCTGATCTGCAGACACCCTGTGTGCAGGGACGAGTGGATCGGTTGAGGGGCCTTCTTGTGGGTCTGCTCCTACGCCTGGACAAAGTGGCCATCAGCAGGTCTAGGCAATGGGCTACAGAGAGGCTTGTTGTTTCACACTGTCTGCTCTTCTTTCATGGTTACATCCATGCTCGTGTGTCCCTGGAGGGGGAGCATGTGGTGCACACTGGCATGATTGTAGCCTTTTGAGACTGGTGGACACCATGGGTGCTGGAATGTATCATCGGCCTGGGTGATGTCATTTTGCCTAAGTAAGTTTGTGTTTAGTTTTGTAAGTTTCTGTTCAACTTCTCTTGTTTGTTTGATTTTGATACTATACCCCTGCAGGGGCTGCTTCACTATTATTGTGAACTCCTTGAAAGAATTGAGGAAGCTTTATTTTGTATTCTAACCCATTTTCTTGCCCTGTCTTGGTGGTAGTTATTGAGGACAGTATGAGGGGACCTTTTTATGTTCAGTTTATTTTGCATTCAAATGAATGGAAGGAACTTCTTCTGTATTTAATCTCCAGTTGTCCCTGTCCTGGTGACGGTGTTGGGGGAGCTTTTCTTTCCATTTACTTTGAATTCAAAGGGTAGGGGGTATTGTGGGTAACTCCCCACAAGTTACCTTTAATTCGGCTGCTTATTAAGAAATTTCACAGAAAATCAAGTAAAGACAATCAAATGATATAAACTTTATTGCATGTAGGAACCCTTCAAATAAGCAAATTAAGCCTCACAACTCAACTTGGCTATGACCCAATTAATGGTGAAATTTAGCTACGATTCCAACCAACAGTGTCTGTCTCTGGAAGTATCCAGTGTTCAATCCTTGTGTAGTGTTGATATTCGGAGTTCTTCATAGAATCCCCACAGTGTGGAAACAGGCCCTTCGGCCCAACAAACCCACACTGACACATTCCCTTATAGCCCACCTAATCTCCATATCCCTGAACACTACGGGCAATTTAGCATGGCCAATCCACCTAGCCTGCACATCTTTGGACTGTGGGAGGAAACTGGAGCACCTGGAGGAAGCCCCCGCAGACACTGGGAGAACGTGCAAACTCCACACAGACAGTCGCCCGGCAGTGGAATCGAACCCAGGTCCCTGGTGCTGTGAGGCTGCAGTGCTAACCACTGAGCCACCGTTCTTCTGCCAAATTGTTCTCTTGTTGGATTCTTACACAATTTTCTTTCTTTCAAGTTTGTGGGGTGACATTATTGATGATCCTTTAGATTCTTTCGTGCAAGTTAGTGATTATTCTTTTGGAGACTTCAAGTCTGTAGCTTGCTTTGTTATCAGAAGTAGCTCCCCTGTTCCTTGTTAAATTCAGAGTTGGCCATCTGTTTGAAACTTGAAGTCTTAATTGCCCATTTGTTACGAGTCGGCAGGTTATCAAAAAGTGTTACCTCCTCTCTCCCAGGAAACAGCTTGTTTATGTTTCTGCCCACGGCTGGTTAATTAGCAAGTTGGATTTAATTCCTTTATAACAGTTTCTCCTCGTACCTTTCATCTCGGGGAAACCATTTATTCCAGAAAGAGTTATTGCTGATTCTTTCAATTTGTGAACAATTAAGTTCTGAAGTTTATGTTGTCACGGGGGAATTTACCCCTGTATTGAAACCCTTGCTGTCCTAGGGGTGTTTCATATTGGATGCTGTCAAGGAAACCTTACTTTCAGCTCAGTAAAGTCGAGGGACCTTTACTTCCAGTTTATATTTAGTTTGAGGGATAGATGGAGCTTTATTCCACATACAAATCTGTGCTGTCCCAGTCCTGACAGTGTTGGTTGGGGACGGTGTTGAGGGAACTTTACTTGCCATTCACTTCCTGTCTAAAAGATTAGAGTGAGCTTTACTCTTTTTTTTAATTTGTATTTAATCCTGTACTCTCCCAATCCTGAGAGAGTTTGATGGGGATAGTGTCGAGGGGACTTCTCATTCAAAAGAGTAGGAACAAGGGAAATGGCAGATTTTGAATAATAACTTGTACTTGAACTTGTTTTCGTGGTAGGAAACACTAAAAGTACCTAATAATGCCAAGCCCCATGAATGACTAAACAAAAATAGAGAATCATTAGAAGAAAAAACACTAGAAAATCAGTGGAACTAAAGGCTAAAAAGTCATAATACATAAAAAGGAGCAGGTATAGGCCATTTGACTCATCAAGTCTATTCCACCATTCAACAAGATCTGATTGTGGCCTTATTTATACTTTGCTACTCTTTTCTCCCCAACATAACCCTAGACTCCTTGAAATCAAAATTCTATTTGACCTTAAAATTATTCAATTATCCAGCCTCCATTGGAGGATTGGATATAATTAGGGATTAATTTTAAATGATTAGCAACCATCTTGTAGTTGGGGTAATGGATAAATTCTAGTTGGGTAAATGTAACTCAAGATGTCACCCACAGCCTTAATTATTTGCCAACTGTATTGTAGCCAAATTTACAAGAGATTAAAAGATAGGAAAGCAAGTTGTGAGGAGGACAAAAATGAAATCGATAAATGAAGTAACTAAACTATTTACAATATATAATAATGAACAAAATCAAAAGTTGCTGTTAAAGCTCAGCAGGTCTGGCGGTGTCTGTGAAGAAAAAAATCAGAGTTAACATTTCGGGCCTGGTGACCCTTCCTCAGAACTGAATATAATAACGACTTGGATGACACAATGGATTGAGAGGGGGGAGTAGTCAAGACAACCCTAACTATATAAATTCTCCACTGTCTTTGTCACTGGTTGGAAAGGTAGGCTTGAAAGCCGCTTGATACTAGGTTTGGGCACTGTGACAAGGACAATTCAGGCTTAGATTATGGAAAATGACCAAATCTTTAAGGTCTTGGTCATTGGAAAGCGACAACAGAAATAAGTTGCCTGGTGACAGTCCTACACAAATCACAGCCTTAGCAAGAACTTCAAATCTAACGTGGGAAGAAAGGAAGGAGAAAAGGGTTTGTTTACTGGCGTATAATTTGAAAACTATGAGGCAGGTGGTGGGAAGTAAAAGTCCTGCAGCTTAAACAATTCCTACAAATCATGCGTAGTTCAAAAAGTACATTGTTTAAAAAGTGAGGAGAGGGTTTGAGAAGTCATCCGCATGTGAGTTTTCAGCAGATTTTTGAAACCACTATTACTTGTCATCGATGTTTGCGTGATGTAAGCCTTTGCCAGTCTTGAAACATGTTTGTTCAGTAGATTTGCTATATTATAGAAATAGCCATTCTGCTGCCACATATAGATTCATTGCAGTGATTATGGGAAAATAGACTTCAAGTTGAGTGTTATTTATCAGCAATGTTGCAGGAGATCTGTGAATATTCACAGAAGTGGTTTGTTGCAGTGCCATGTTAAAACAAGTTTGCTTTCTTTAGAATAAAATCTTGCAGAAAAGATTAACACAAACGATGAAAATTTGGTTAAGATCCAAATCATTCATTGGTCTGAATGAAGAACATCTAGTATTTTGATAGTAGTGTACTTTGATTAGTACTTGACATCACTTAAATTGTAATTATAAACTAATTTATATATTAAAAGAATCAGAAGAAAGGTGACAATAAATATTTAACATATATTAATTACATGTAATTGTAGCTCTCAGTAGTTTCTCTGATCTATGTATTCTTTCTGTACATAGTCTCAGCGACAGTTTCTTCACAGTTAAGGGTGCGGCACTTTTCCTACAACAGGGAAGCAGCTCACAGGTCCCACGATGTTACCGTCACCACACGTATGCAGGTAAGCAGACTATAACCTGGTGTTGTATGACTCCCACCTTTGTCCACCCCAGTCCAACACTGGCACCTCCACATCATAGATTTGGAATAGGAATCCAGAAGTTTTGCAAACATCTCAAGCTCTATCCCACTGTGAGCCTATTTCAAGACTTAAAAATTGTCTTCCCCACCTTCCCCCCCCCTCCCCCCCCCCCCCCCCCCGGGAAGTGAGCATGGACAATGGGCCAAAATTGGAGGAATAAAGAAATCTTAGAGGGCTTCCTGGCTGATACAAGTAAAGAGGGAGGGGCAAGGTGATCTGAACATCAGAATGAGAATTTTAAGTCTCGCATACCCTGGAATCAGGAGCTAATAAGGCAAGTTGACAAGCTCAAAAATGATGAAAAAAGACTGGTCAGTGTGAGTTAGGGTCATTCAAAACTGTGTCACCCAGATCTCGAGTTTATGCAGGATGAAACATAAGTGACAGGCCATGACAGACTTTGAATAGTCAAATCTAGAAATAACAGCAAGATAAGTTAGGCTTTCTGCAGCAGATAGGCTGAAGCAGGAGCAGAAATGGCCAAATGCAACAAGATCTAAATAACATCCAGGCTTGGGCTGACAAGTGGTAAGCAACATATGCACTGTATAAATACCAGGTGATGACCATCTCTAATAAGAGACCATCTGACCAAATCTCCCTTGGCATTCAATGATATTACCATCACTGAATCCCCCATTATCAACATCCTGGTGGAAGCTATTCACCAAAAACTCAACTCGACTGGCCATACAAATACAGGGTGGCTACAAGAACAGGGCAGAGGCTAGGAATACCCCAGCGAGTAGTTCACATCCTGACTCCCCAAAATCTATTAACCATCTACAGGACACAAGTCAGGAATGTGATGGAATACTTCACATTTGCCTGGATGAGTGCAGCTCCAACAACATTGAGTACAAGAGTTGGGACATTATGTTGAGATTGTACAGGACGTTGGAGAGGCTGCTTTTGGAGTACTGTGTACAGTTCTGGTTGCCCTGCTATAAGAAGGATATTACTAAATTGGAGCAGGCTCAGAAAAGATTTACCAGGATGTTGCCGAGAGTGCAAGGTCTGAGTTATGAGGAGAGTCTGGATAGGCTGGGACTTTTATCACTGGAGTGGGTGAGGTTAAGGGGGTCCTGACGGAGGTTTATAAAATTATGAGGGGCATAGACAAGGTGAATAGCAAATGTCTTTTCACTAGGGTGGGTGAGTTCAAAAATGGGGACATATTATTAAGGTGAGAGGAGAAAGATTTAAAGGGGACCTGAGGGGCAACTTTTTCACACGGGGTGGTTTTTATGTGGAATGAACTGCCCAAGGTAGTGGTAAATGCAGGTACAGTCACAATATTTAAAAGACATTTGGATAGGTACATGAATAGGAAAGGTTTTGAGGGATATAGGCCAAACACAGCAAGTGGGACTAATTTAGTTTGGGAAACTTGGTAAGCATGGATGAGTTGGATTGAAGGGTCTGTTTCCTTGCAGTAAGACTCTTGTGACTCTAAGGTTGACACTCTGCAAGGCAAAGCAGCTTGCTTGATTGGCATGACATCCGCAAGCATCCACTCTCTCCACCACCAACACTCTGTAGCAGCAGTGTGTACTATCTATAAGATGCACTGCAGAAATACAGCAAAGATCCTTAGATAGCACCTTCCAAATCCATGACCACTTCTGTCTAGAAGGACGATGGCAGCAGATCCATGGGAACACCGCACCTGCAAGTTCCCCTCCAAGTCACTACCATCCTAACTTGGAAATGTATTGCCATACTTCATTGTTGCTGGGTCAACATCCTGGAATTCCCTCCCTAAAAGCATTGTGGGTCAGCCTGCAATACATGATTCAAGAAAGCAGTACACCACCACCTTCTCGAGCAGCTAGCGATGAGCAGTAAATTCTAGTCAGCTGGCAATGCCAATGCCCCATGAATGAATAAAAAATATCATCAAGACAGAAGTAATAGTTTGTCAAGGAGATGTGTGACTAAATGCTCACTTCAAGGAAAATACAGCGCCAAGATCATGAAACCAGATTGTTCAATGTGAGTCAGTAATTGGGAAGGGGGAGTGGAATAGGTGATGAGAGCCAAAGGCAATGGCTTCACATTCCAGTATTTAAATTTTATCTATGACTGAAAGTGAGTTACTTTCTGCAGAATACCCTGCCTGCTCTCTTTAGACACTATATTTGTGGCTTGTCGATTAAGTTTCTGGTAAGTTGGCAACCTAAACATTCAAACCTGTTGAGGAATGTATAAAACCAATTGGTAAAAAGTCATCCCTTTCATTGCATTATACTGCCTTCTGGCATATGTTTCTGAGATCCTACTGCTAATATTTAAAACGTTGTCCTGGTTCTTTTAGACCTGTCAGAATGCTAAAATGGTCATCTTGCTGAGAATGATGGTGAGGGCAACTGGTAACTTAGAATTCTGCTTTCGTTACTTGGCATTGCAAGATTTTTAACCTCCTTTGAGACTCTCATTATACATTTCTATCCACTTTTCCTCTGAAACAGAGTATGAGTAATCTTGTACATAATAATTCCTGATCATCCTAGCATGATTAATGTCAAATTTTGATTTTATGACATGAAATGTGATAAAATTTTGACTGATATTTTGCTGATATTTTCCGTTTCACATGAGCAAAGCGATAGCAAAGGGATTAATGTATATCTGTAAGTCTTAAGAAAATTCTGTTCTTATTTTAAAAGAAACCTTTTGTTTGAGCAATGTCTTTTGAAAAATGGAGATTAAATTGAGTTAATGCAGCAGAAAGATAAACATGATATCACTTATGCTAATTGCTGTTTACAGAGAATTGACATTTGAGCCAAGAATTAACTGAAATGCTTTGCAATGTTTATTCATGCAGTGTATTGGAAGTTATTGGTTGTGCGATTATCGCTTTCTTCCTGAATATAAATGTATTGTAGACAGTTATCGAACTGTACCAGCCTGACTGCAAAGGGGCCTTATAAGACAAAAGGGAGAATCTTTTCATGCCTTGAATGACATGGGCATGGGCAAGCAAGTTGGTAGAGTCATATGAAATCGGCATTGAGGAGATTTCCACTGTCAAGAGCGAGACATTCCATTTTCCATCCAAGTGTTGAGCAGCAAGATTCTAACTAGTAACAGACCTATTTGCGTTGTTATGGAGCAGACCAAACCCCTCTCAAATATATTAAGATGATAGCCTAGACTCTTAACTTTTTCTTATTTTAAAGGTGTGTAAGGCGTTGCATTTCAGATACAATTCAATTGATCAAACTACTCAACTTTAAACAAAACACACTTTATTTTACACTACAGTTAAAATACAGACAAAGTTAAAAACAAAATAAAAGAATTGGCTTAACTGTAACTCTATCAAAATGCTTAACAAAATAATATATTACCTATAACTAATTGACTTCCAATATAGTAACGTCCCATAAACACACCCTTGGCAAAGACAAATTTAGTAAAATAGATTATCTCACTTGTAATTCTAGCAACAGGAAGCCAACTCCACCTTTTAGCTGTAACAGAAAGGAGTCAGATCTTCCACATCCAGCTTCAAGACCCCAGCAACTGCAGAAAGCTAAGACTAAAAATCCTGGTTCTCTGCAAGCTTAACTCCATCCATTCATGCTGCTTCGACTGTTCCAAATTTTTTAAAAAAAACAAGCCATTTACTTTGTTAGATTTGAGCAGACTGCTTGGCACCTCTAGCTCAACCTTCCTGCATTTAAAAAAAAAACATACACCTCTTAAAGCCATAGTATTGTCAGGAAAAAATTGAACCATCAATATACAAAGATGGCTTCATTTTTAAAAACCTTTAGTCTAATGCTATTACTAGACTACCATACATATGCATTACATTGACAGTAAATATGTAAACATTTACTACTACAGTCCATTTTAGTCTTTTTTTTTTCCAGCTACAGAAAACCTCTGTCTTTGTTAATCAAAGCCGCAACAATGCATCAGCAATTATGTTCTCGTCCTGCCACATGTACAATTTTCAAATTGAACGGCTGCAATAATAAGCTCCCAATAAACAGTCTGGAATTTTTATCCTTAAATTTTTCCAAAAACTTTAAGAGGTCGTGATCAGTATATGCAATTGTCTCAGACGCATTACAGGCAATATAAATGTTGAAATGTTGCAACACCAATACAATAATCAAAGGCTCTTTCTCAATTGTGAAATACTTCTATTGATGATTATTCAATTTTCTGGAAAAATACTCCATATACCTTTGTTTTCTTGCTGTCATATTGCAAGATTACAGCACCAACACCCATATCACACACATCGATAGCCACCTTGAATGGCTTTGTGTATGTAATTTGGTGTGGCTAACGCTGGGGCAGTGGTTAACGCAGATTTCAGGCTGTCAAATGCCTTTTGACATTACTCCGTCTGCTGAAATTTTCTGCACTTCTTTAATTAGTCGGTCAGTGGAGCAACCACACTGCTAAAATTTGGTATGAGCTTCTGAGAAAAACCACTCAGCCCCAGAAATCATTCTTCCTTCTTCGTTGATGGTATGGGAAACTCCCCAAAAGCCTTTGTTTTCACATCCTGTAGGCCATTTGTCCATGTTTGATGACATGGCCCAGGCACGTAACTTAAGCTTTGCAAACTCCCTCTTAGCCAGATTTATCACCAAGCCTACCTCCCGAAGTCGACCAAACAATTCCAGTTGATGTTTCAAACGTTCCTTCCATGTATAACTAAAAATCACCAGGTCATCAATGTACATCACACAATTGGGTAATCCTGAAATGACTTCATTGGTTAGTCTTTGAAATGTGGCTGGTGCACTTTTGATACCAAATGGCATGAGTTTACAGTCCATTTGGGGTCACAAAAGCCTAAATTTCTTTCGCTCATTTGGATAAACGTACCTGCCAGTATCCTCTGAGTAAATCCACCTTAGAAATACAAGTTGCTTTTCCTACCTTCTCAA